AGAGAGAGAGAGAGAGAGAGAGAGAGAGAGAGAGATCAGTAGCCTGTAACCCAGGTACATGCCCTTGACTGGAAATGGAAACCAAGACCCTTCATGCATGAGCTGATGCTCTAACCACTTAGCCCCACTGGCCGGGCTGAATTGCTCACTTTAAATGGGTGACTATCTGGTATGCATATCATATCTCAATAAAGCTGTTTTTTAAACAACAAGAAGAGAGCACAAGAATTGCAACCGCCAGGCAGGTCCGGAGCGAATGATGTCCTGGGAGATAACGAGCTGGACTTGCCAAAGCCCACGGCGGGTGGGGGCGGGGCTGCTCCATTTGAAAGAGACCGAGAAGCTGGGGCTGGACGGGATCCTGTGACAACCACCGGGGACAGCGGGCGCCGGGCTGCGGGTGAGACCTCAGGCGGTGTCATGGGTCATCGCGAACGTCCTGGCGGGCAAACCCTCTATTTATCGAGGATATGCCTTCCTCTGGGGGTGCACACGGAGGAGAATTTGGGGGTGACACGTCCTGATGTCTGCGCGTGCACAGCCACAGTGTGTGTTTGGGAGAGTGTGTGAGTGTGTGAGTGAATGTGTGTGCGAGTGTGTGTGCATGAATGTGAGACTGTGTGAAAGTGAGAGCATGTGTGTGTGTGAGTGCATGTGTGTGTGTGTGTATGAGTGTGAGAGAGTATGAGTGTGTGTGTGTGTGTGTGTGAAAGTGAGAGCATGTGTGTGTGTGAGAGCATGTGTGTGTGTGTATGAGTGTGAGAGAGTATGAGTGTGTGTGTGTGTGAAAGTGAGTGGGTGTGTGTGAAAGTGAGAGCATGTGTGTGTGTGTATGAATGTGTCTGTGTGTGAGTGAATGTGTATGAGTGTGTGTGGTGTGTGAAGAGCAACAAAAATCAAACAGAAAATATCAGCACCTGGTGGTGCAGGTGCCCAGGAGCCGCCCTGGCTATGTGGTTGGTGCTGGAGGGGAGTCAGAGAAGAATGTCAGCTGTCCTGGCATGATCCTCAGTTGTCCCTAGGATCTACCCCCGAGGGTGACATGAGAGGCAGAGCCTGGGCCTCTGCATGCCACGCAGATCCTCGCTCCCCACGGCCAAGTTCATCTACTCCCAACAGCCGACCCGGCGCTCCCACCAGCCCCCGGGTCCCCCACCCTCACCCGCCATCCCCGCCCTCCAGCCCCGACTCCCCTAGCCCCGTGCTCCACAGGCCAGGCCGCAGGAGGCCTCTCTCCCAGACGCACCCTGATGGATGGCTCTCCTGCACCCCATCCGGAGCCTGGCCCAGACCACCAGGCTGCGGGGGACGGGGTGGCCGACACCCCGGGGCAGGGTGGGCTCTGCAGAAGGGCCCTCGGGGCTGGTCCCTCTCCAGACTTCTCCGGGGAAGCAGAAGTGCGTCTGTGACATGACCTGTCGCTGCTCTCATGACCGGGAGGTGAGGGCTCAGGAAGCTGGTCTTGACTGGGGACGTGAGGGGTTAGGAAGCTGGCCTTCCCCGAGGAGGTGAGGGGACAGGAAGCTGGCCTTCCCCGAGGAGGTGAGCGGACAGGAAGTGGCCTTTGAAGAGGTGAGGGAACAGGAAGCTGGCCTTCCCCGAGGAGAGACGCAGCTGGGCACCTCGCCTGAGGGCAGGGCGCTGTGTCTCCACGTCCTGCGCTGCCAGCCTCCAGGCCCAGTGCCAGTCTGCACTCGGGCCTGCTGCGCCCGCTTGTCCCCTGAGAACGTGAGGGGCGTGGGGGCTCCTGGGCCCAGCGCGGAGCGGCTGCAGGCGGATGGACAGGCGCACCCGCAGGTGAAGGAGGCTGCCGCGGGGCAGGTCGGGATTCCGGGGCATGGAGCTAGACCGGCCAGGCCGCTCCACGCTGCTGAGGCTGTTTCTGCTGCCCCCCGGAGGCCTGCGGGTCCGAGGTGGAGGGTCATCACGCTGTCACTCGCTCATGACCCTCTTGGTTGCAAGTCACGAGAAACCCAGCCCCCTCAGGCCCAACGAACAGGAGGCGTCATTCCCGGGCTCCAGCATCCGGGAACTTCTTCCTTCGCAGGATTCAGGCCGGAGCGTGAGTGGAACTCAACCAATCAGAAGCCCGCTTCCCATCACCCCGAGCGGCAAGATGGCGTCCTGGTACCAGGCCTACTTCTCTGAGGGCGGGGGGGATGTTTATTGGTCCAGCTCAGGTCACGTGTCTGTCCCTGAGCCAATGGCAAGGTCAGAAATGTGGTGCTCGGATTGGCCAAGACGCCCTGCCCATCGAGGTGCCTACAGGGAACCCTGAGCGCCTGACCTGCAGGGTGGTGCCAAGGTCTCCTCTCCCAGACCCCCCCCCCCCCCATGTCTCCTCTCTGGAAAACTCCCGTCTGCCGCTGTGCTAGGAACGGTCACTCGCTGAGCCTTTCCTCTGTGCGGGGCCCGGAGTCGGGGGTCCATCTGCATTGCCTCACTTCCTTACCTCGCCTAGGAAGGTAACTGCCTTCCCGAAATAGGACAATCACGGTCTCAACATTACAGGCCCGTGGTCGGCAAACTCATCCGTCCGCAGAGCCAAATGGCCACAGCACAACGATGGGCATGTCTGCGGAGAGCCACATCTCTTTAAACTGAAACTTCTTCTAGCGCCACTTCTTCAACGCGGACTCGCCCAGGCCGTGGTCTTTGGTGGAAGAACCACCCATGTCTGGGTCCCATGCCTTCCCGAGCCGACCTGAGCCAGTCACCTCCGCGGCCTTGACCTCTGAAAGGCCAACCACCTGCTAGCAGGGGACTCCTGGGGGTGGCACAGTTAGTCTTCAACAAGACCCAGGCTCCAACTCCAAGGAGGCTGCAGGGGGAGAGCCACCAGGAGGACGGAGATGCTGCAGGGGGAGAGCCACCAGGAGGACGGAGATGCTGCAGGAAGGGCCTTGGGCGGGTTCAGAGCCCTCTGCGAGCTTCTTCCAGAAGCCGAGCGCAGAAGGTGCTTCCCAGCTGCGATTGTTCTAGATCTACTTCTCTCACTAACGTGTAAGCTCCTCAGAAGCTTGATCCGAGAATATTTTTTCAGGCATTCTCTCCCAGATAGGATTTAAGCGTCTCCCTTCTTCTGGGCACTATGCCAAGATCCGGGGACATACCGCAGGGAAGGAGACAGGTGAGGCAGGGAGAGGGACTCCCAACAAGGCTACAGCCGAGGTGCGGGAGACATCGGGTTTGGGGGAACCACAGCAGGACCATGACGGGGAGAGGACTCCTGGCAAGCGGGGCGCTCAGAGTCAATGGCCCCTGAAACCTCCTGGTTCTCGGGAAGGAGGGGGAGCCCCGGGGAGCCAGAGTTGGGGACAAGCTCCAGGGCCCTGAGCTGAGAAAGGGCAGAGGGTGGGACAGCTGAGGGAGGAGGAGGGAGAAAGGAGGCTCAGGGGCTGAGAGCCAGCTCCCGGGGATTCCTGGAGGCCCCGGCAGGGAGTGTGCGTGGGATCCGAGGGCGAATGGAAACGCTCACAGTGCTTCCCGCTACAGAGGGCCACGTGGAATCCCACCGGGCAGCCAGGGCTGGCGATGCTCCGCTGGCGGGAAGGGCCGCACGTGGAAGGTGCGGGACTACGGCCGAATGAATGGATGGATGGATGGATGAAAGGATGGACGGATGCACGCGTGCGGGGAAGGGGAAGGGCAGATGCCTGTCTCCCGCCGGAGGCCCTGGCTCCAGGCCCAGCGCCGTGGCGCGGTGACCTTGGGCACCTCCCGCCCCAATCCCGGGCCCGGAACCCTGCGTCTCGGGGGCGGGAAGGACGTGCGGGGAGGGACGGTGCGCGCGCGCGGGCCCGGCGGATGGGCGGGCGGCGGGTCGTTCGCGGACCGGCCCGGGGCCCGAACCCGAGCCACGGGCCGAACCCGCAGGACGGCGGCCGGGCCCCAACCCCTGCCGGCCACCGCCGTGTTTACAGGACCCCCGCGCCGGCCACGCGGCTCCTGGCCGCGTCCCCCCGGCGGGCCCCGCCCTCCGCCCTCCGCCGCGCGCGCGGGCCAGCCGGCCTCCCGCGTCCCGCCCCGCGCAGGCCCTGTCACCCGGCCCCGCCCCTCGGGCGCGCAGGCCCTGTCACCCGGCCCCGCCCCCGCGCACAGCCCCGCCCACACAGCCCCGCCCCTTCCGCCCTAGCCCCGCCCACGGCCCCGCCCCGGCACACAGACACGCCCGCCTAGCCCCGCCCTTTCCGCCCTAGCCCCGCCCCAGGCCCCGCCTCGCGCCGGCCACGCCCCCCGCGGCCGGGCGCCTCGGCCAGTCTGCGCGGCGGAGGGCGGCGCGGGCGGCGCGCTGGGCCGGCCCGGGCCCGCGGGGCGGGGCGGAGGGTGGCGGGAGGGCGCGAGGGCGGGCCGGGGGCCGGTTCCGCGCGCCGAGATTTTTAAATGTCCCGCTCTCGGCCGGGCGCAGGAGCAGCCGGCTCGCCCGCCAGCGCGGTGTAGGGGGCAGGCGCGGATCCCGCCGCCGCCGCCGCCGCTCGCCCGCCGCCGCCGCCGCCGCCGCCGCCGCCGCCGCCGCCGCCCGCCGCTCGGCGCGTGCCGCCCGCCGGTCGCGGACCCGCTTCGGGTGAGGCCCGGCGGCGGGGGCTCCGGGTCCGGGGTGGGGTGGGGTGGGGTGGGGGTGGGGGTGGGGCGCGGGTCCCGGGGTGGGTGCGGGGCGGAGGCGCGGGGTGCGGGGCCGGGGGCTCCGGGCGGGCCGGGAGGTGCTCGGGGGAGACTGAGGCAGCCCGGACCCCCAGCGCGGCGCGGCGATGGGCCGGCGGAGCTCTGGGGGGTGTCCGGCCCCCCCGCCGCCCCGAGCTCGGACCCGGAGCCGCGGGTGCTGGGGGCGCCGCGGGTGACAGGCCACCCGGCCCATCGGCCATTTTCCGGCGGCCGGCCCGGGAGGGAGGCTGCCGCCGCCGCCCGTGCCGCGCGGGCGGGGGAGGGGAGTCCGGGCCGCCGGCGGCCGCCTCACCCCGTGCCGCTTCGTGCCCCCAGCCCGAGTCTGACCCAGCCCCGCCATGCCGAGGGAGAGCAGGGAGAGCAGGGAGAGCAGGGAGAGGTGAGTGCGGGCCCGGGGGAGGGGTGGGGTGCGGGGTGCTGGGGGGCCGCCCTCACCCGCCGCCCTCACCCCGCCCGCTGCGCAGGGATGCCAAGGAGCCGGACCCCGCGAAGGAGGACAGTGGCGCGGACGCCTCGGCTCACTCCAGGAAGAGGAAGGCGAACGTGGCCGTGGTGAGTACAAAGGGACAGGTGGGGGTGCCCGGCCGGCCCCCACCTCACCTGGTCCCAGGCTGGGCCCCGGCCACGTGTGTGCGGAGAGGGGGCACCCTACGGGCCGTCCTCCAGTGGGTGCCCAGAGGCTGCCCCCAGCCTGACCGGCTTCCTCTCCCTTCTCCCGTGTGCTTCTCGGTCCGTCCGCTCCGCTCGGCGTGCTTCCTCGGGGTGGCGTGGTCCCCCCTTAGTTCCTGCAGGACCCCGATGAGGAAATCGACGAAATCGACAGGGCTGGGCCGAGCCCCAGGGACGATCAGGTAGGGGGGCCGCCCCAGGGGGGTGGGGAGGGGGCAGGGCTGGCCCACCGGCGGTCAGCGGGTCCCGTGCTGTCCGGCCGCCTCCCGGGCCGAGCAGGGCCTGCTGTCAGGGCCCGGCCTCTGCCGCCTCGGCTTCCGGGAAGGGCTTGTGTTCCTCATGGTGCCGCGTGTGGAAGAACCAGGATGGACGTGGAGCGGCCGGTCCTCCCCTTTCTGTCCTTGAGGAAACGGAGCCTCAGGCAGCCTCCCCAGGGCCCTGTGCAGCCGGGGCGGGCGGGGCAGCCCGGCGCCCTGGGGGCGGCTCCTGACCCCACTCTTCAGGGGGCCGTGATGGTGGTCTGCGTGGGTTCACCCCACGGCGTCCCCCTGTGCTTGCGCCTCCGGGGGCTTGAGGGCCTCCAGGTTTAAAGTGTGACCCCGTCCAGCCACCGCCTGCCGTGTCCCTGCAGCCGGGGCTGGGCCTGGCCGGCGGAGGCCAGGGGTTAGGGGAACATCGCGTGTACTAAGTGTGTCTCAACACGTATTTGTTATTGACGGGCCGTGTCTCTGCCCCTCCTTCGTGGACTTCCCGCCAAATGGCCTGATGCTCATGATATCACCGTAATATCAGAAGTTCCTGGCAGGACAAGCGCGCACTATCTCCCCGCCTCAGAGGTGGCTGCAGACTGCAGTTACGGCCGCGCGGGCGAGCTGTCTATCTCCGACGCCTCCCGCAGGTGGAAGCGGGGCGGGAGCCCACCCTGGCCAGTGAGCCGCGGGCAGCGCGTCCTCGGCGGCCGGCGGCTGGGCGCGGGAGAGCGAGGCCACACCGCCCGCCCGCACGGTGCCCGCACGCTGCCCTGCACCGGAGGCCCAGGATGGAGCGTTTCTGGGCCGGCTTATGGAACAGTGAGCCAGGGGCTGGAGGCGTCCTTCTGTTCGAAGAAGAAATAGGCCGTCTTAGGACAGGCAGTAACACCGTGCATCCCGAGTTCTTCCCTCCTCCTTTTTCTCCCCTTAGAACACAGCTTCAAGCTGGTTGGCGTGTGTGTTTTGTTTGTTTGAGTTCTTTTTTGGTTAATCCTCACCGGAGGATAGTTACCCATTGATTTGAGAGAGAGTGGAAGGGAGGGGTGAGGAGGAGAGAGAAACATCGATGTGAGAGGGCCACATCCATTGGTTGCCCGAGGCACGTGCCCCGGGAACCTGCAACCCAGGCTCGCGCCCTTGACCGGAATGAGCCTGCCGATCTTCAACTTTATGATGAAGAAATCAGTCGTGTACAAGCAACAGGATGGGGGCTACCCTAGGGGGGGTGTGGGGAGAAGGACAGGAGTGAGGGGCAAGCATAGGCCCTGACGGGGCGCCGGGAGGGTCCAGACCTCCGCTGGGGAGCGCACATGGCCATGCAGGTGTCGGAACATTGCACGCCTGAGGTTTACATCGTGTTACTAGCCAACGTTACCCCAATACGTTTAACACAACCATTTAACCGGTTATAGGCTTTGTGAGAATAGGATGATCGCTTTAAGGAGAAAACCCCCTAAGTGGCGGAATGACCCGAGTGTTCCCCAGGCACAGAGCTGGGTAAAGCCCGATACCGGGCACCTTCAGAAGCAGCGCCCGTTGTTTGGGGTCTTAACGCTGGAGCCTTCGCTTAGCCCTGGTTTGGGTCTCGCTCCCCAGTGCGCGGCCTCGGGCAGGAGCGGGGCCTGCGGGGTCTCTGGGCCCCCTGTCTCCGCGGCTCCTCAGTGTGGCCTGTGACCGCGGCTCCGCTGGGTGTGACGGGCAGGCAGCCTGTGTGCTCCGTTCTGGACGAGAACGAGGTCCCGAGACAGATGCACTCGGTGGGCCCGCAGCCCGGGGAGGGGTCCCGTTTGAGGCGACGGTGTGTTTGGAATGGCGGTGTATAGATGCATTCACACTCTGCCTTCGTACTGTGGATGGAGTGGTCATCTCCCTGGCAGACGTTTTCGTGGATGAGTTGTTCTTGTTAAAAACGCATCTGTCCTGACGGAGGGGCCTCAGCCCTGCCGGCCGTGCCAGGGCCTGGGCGCTGCACGTGGTCCGGCTGCTTTTCGCTGGCGGGGACTGGGCCTCACGTCGACCCTCAGGCGAGGAGGCGGTCGGAGGATCGGTGCAGCTCCTTTTCTAGACACAGATCCGTGTCCCAGGCTCCTGGGCCGAGCGGAGGGACAGACGCCGGCCTGGCAGGCGTGTCCCCTGCGCCCTGAGCTTGCTGGGAGGGGGGGAGACGGGTGGGACGGCGCCCTGCCCGGGAAGGTGGCGTGCCAGCAGCTGACAGTGCCTCTCCTTCCCAGCCGTGGGCCGGCGGCGCAGCCTGTGAGAACCCCTGCGCCCTGATCCCCACGCCGGACAAGGACGACAACGAGCGGGTGTACCCCACCTCCGCACACAAGCACCCCTGCGCCAGGCCCCCCCGAGCCTCACCCCTGCCTCTGCTGAAGTGAGTGCCCGCCTGCGCCCCACGGCCCGCGCGGCATGGTGGGTGCCCGCTGACCCGGTCTGTCCCTGCTGTGGTCCCTGCAGCTGGGCAAACCGGGAGGAGGTGTGGATGATCATGCTGAACAAGGAGATGCGGTACCTGCACGACCAGCACCTGCTGCAGCAGCACCCGCTCCTGCAGCCGAGGATGCGCGCCATCCTGCTGGACTGGCTGATGGAGGTGAGCTGCCCCCACCGTGCGTCCGCCCCGGCACGTTCCGAGTCCCTGCCGCTGGGGGAGGCCGGAGGCCGGGCCCGCACGGTCCGAGTCTGTAGTTGAGACCGTCCGTGTCCCAGTGAGAGCCTACCCCGCAGCCTGGAGTCTCCTCTCTGCTTTCCAGAGCTCTGATTTACGCATTCACGAGCTGGTTCTTGTATGTGCCCTGACCGGGGACCGGCTGCCCCCGTGGTGTCCGGGACCGAGCTCCCGGCCGGGGAGGAGCTGTATTAACCGGCGCGCTGCCTGGCGGGAGGAAACGGCCGGTGCTCCCCGTCGGAATGCCGCTCACAGGGGGCAGCACCCACAGTCCTAGCATTTGAGCGATCGCAGCTCGCTCCTCGGCGTCCACTTCCCGGGTCTGTGCCGGGGCCGGCGGGGGTCCTGGCAGGAAAGCGCTTCCCCTCGGCCTGTCTCAGCCCGGCGGCCTCTGCCTCTGCTGCCCCCGCAGGTGTGCGAGGTGTACAAGCTGCACAGGGAGACCTTCTACCTGGCACAGGACTTCTTCGACCGCTACATGGCCTCGCAGCACGACATCGTCAAGACGCTGCTGCAGCTTGTCGGCATCTCGGCCTTGTTCATCGCCGCCAAGCTGGAGGTGCGTGCCGGGCCCGGGGCGCGTGCTGCTGCCCGGGCGGGGCTCCTGCTGCCCCGAGCGCCACCGAGATCGGGGCGAGGCCCACTGTGTACACCGCACACCCCGCATCTCCCACGTGAGGCCCCTAGCGCTGACGCACACACGGACCCGGGACACGAGCGAGAAGCCGGGCGTGCGTGAACGCTCAGGGTCACGTGTCTGAGAAGCGGGGAAGGTGGGCCTGACCTCAGGAGTGCAGCTTCCAACGAGGCTCTCCCAGTGCTGGAAGAGAGGGACCTTTCAGACCCCCACAGCGAGGAGAAGTTTGATTGATTGATTGATTGACTGGTTGGTGAGGGTGGGTGTTTCATTTCTTTCCCTTCACGCAGTGTGAACCCCTGGAGTGGGCCTGCATTTATCCCAGAACGTACCCCTTCCTTCCCGGCCACGCCCCCTCTCCCTGGCCGCCCCTCCTCTTACCCGCCAGCGCCCTGGGGATGCGTTCGGTTAGGGCGCTTTAGGAGGTGGGCGGCGAGGGGCCCTTGCCAGTAGCTCTGCTCCCCAGGAGATCTACCCGCCGAAGCTGCACCAGTTCGCGTACGTCACGGACGGGGCCTGCTCCGTGGAGGACATCCTCACCATGGAGCTGATCATCATGAAGGTGGGCGCCTCCCTCCGCGCGCCGCACAGCACCCGCTCTGGCCGGGGCGTCCGCCGCGCCCTCACCGGCCGCGGCCGGGCCGGCTGCACGGCCAGCTCCGTGGAGGGCCCGCGGGCAGAAAGGTGTTCCCTCCTCAGCCGCAGCCTCCCTCCCGCCCTCTCCCGCAGGCTCTGAAGTGGCAGCTGGGTCCCCTGACCGTCGTGTCCTGGCTGAACGTGTACATGCAGGTGGCCTACCTGAACGACGTGTACCAAGTGCTCCTGCCCCAGTACCCCCAGGATGTCTTCGTCCAGATCGCAGAGGTGGGTGCCGGCCTGGGTGCCCGCCCCGGCGCCCCGTGGCCGCCATGGCCGCCCGCTCAGCACTGTCTCCCGCAGCTCCTGGACCTGTGCATGCTGGACGTGGACTGCTTAGAGTTCCCCTACGGTGTCCTGGCCGCGTCCGCCCTGTACCACTTCTCCTGCTCCGAGCTGACGCACAAGGTGTCAGGTGCGCCCCCCTGCCCTCCCCTCCCCCCCCTCCCCTCCCCTCCCCTCCCCTCCCCTGCCCTCCCCTCCCCCCCCTCCCCTGCCCTGCCCTCCCCTCCCCTCCCCTCCCTTCCCCTCCCCTCCCCTCCCCTCCGCTCCCGGGCTCCGGCCGCCGCCCGGCGCTGACGTGTGTGTCCCCCCAGGGCTCCTGTGGAAGGACATCGAGAAGTGCGTCAAGTGGATGAGCCCCTTCGCCATGGTCATCCGGGAGACGGGCAGCTCGAAGCTGAAGCAGTTCCGGGGCGTCCCGCCCGAGGACGCCCACAACATCCAGACCCACCTGAGCAGCCTGGACCTGCTGGTCAGTGCCCGCCTCCCCCGAGGGACGGCCTGTGCTGAGCCCTGTGCGGCCGGGCTTCTCGATTGTTCTGTGCTGTTCCCCCCTCGCTCGCCCCTGGGAAGCAGCACACCTTCTCCCCGTAACACTCTGTCCTTGTCTGCAGGACAGAGCGCAGGCCAAGAAAGCCATATTGTCGGAGCAGAACAGGCTTTCTCCCCTCCCGTCCGGGCTCCTCACGCCCCCGCCCAGCGGCAAGAAGCAGAGCGGCGAGCCGGAGACGGAGTGACCGCCAGCCGCCACCAAAGACAGCGGTGCCCAAGTGCCTGCCCGCCCCGCGCCGGAGGCCGCCCCAGCTCCGGGCGCCGAGCACCCTCTGTGGACGGCACCGGACGGAGCGTCGCCCGCGGCCTCGAGGGTGCGATCAGCCGGTCAAGTACACCAGCCACCTCCGGACACGACGCGTCTCTGCTGCTAGGAGGGTGCTGCTTGACCGCACGGCTCCGGGCCGGAGCGCGGGGCTGGGGGCGCGGCCTCCGGTCGGGGCACACGGTGCTGAGGGTCCGCCCTCCACTCTATCATTGGTAACGTACATGCCTTTTATGAACTTGTTCTATAATACGTGCTGCTACGACTCCTGTTTTAATAAAGGTCACCCTGTCTGAGCCGCTGGCTCCACGCGGTGTCTCATTGGCCCCCGGCGCCGGCGGCGAGCGCGGCTGCGGGCTGCTCCCGGTCCAACGCCGCTTCCTAAGCTCCAGGCTTCCCCCGGCCCTGCTCTCAGGCGCCCGGCCGCGCCCACCCCGCCCGCAGGGCTTCCCTCTGGCCGTCTCAGCACAGAGGCCCGAAGGTGCCAAGTGGAGTCACGCGCAGCTCTGGTGTCCTCTGCCCTCTGACCCCGGCCACCGACCGTCACCGCGGTCGGCTCACGCCACGCATGTTGGCCGTCCTCGACGTGGCGGCCTCACAGCCTCTTCCTTTCTCAGGAGTTGGCGTGCGACTGGGCTCGTAAAAGGGAGGTGAACGGGCAAATAAACCCACTTGTTTCCAACATGGCATCTTCATCTCGTTCTGTGCAACATCTGCCCGACGCAGAAGGAAAAGCAGCCATTCCCAACGTGCCCTGTTTGTAGAAGCTGGAGAGAGAGGCCTGGGTTCTGACAAGTTTAACACCGTTTCCTGAGTCTCCAGGCCATGCCTTGCAGCTGCGAGTGACACCCCAATAGCAATGCCTCCATTTCAGCTGGAAAAATGTTTATTTTTTTTTATTGATTTCAGAGAGGAAGAGAGAGAGAAACATCAATGATGAGAGAATCGTGGATCAGCTGCTTCCTGCATGCCCCCTACTGGGGATGGAGCCGGAAACCTGAGCCTGTGCCCTGGCTGGGAATCGAACCCTGACCTCCTGGTTCCTAGGTTGGTGCTCCACCCCTGAGCCAGCCAGCCGGGCTGTTTCAGCTGAATTTTTAGCGTGATCGTTTGCAGGTGACTTGCAAAAAAAAAAAATCCTAAACATGGTTCATTTCCACTGGGCACTTTCTATGCAAAAGGATGGCAATGAAACCATCCCTATTTTCAAGGTTTTCTTAGGAGTCTGGGAGCTTGGCACGGGGGGAGGTCATGCAGGTTGGAAAGAGGTGTGAGGTGTACGTTAATTTTCAGGCTGCCGGCAGCCGTCAGGCTGTGGGGGTCACTGAGTGTGAGGAGCTGAGGCCGCCGTGTGTGTGTGTGTGTGTGTGTGTGTGTGTGTGTGTGTGTGTGTGAAGTGGCTGGAATGCTGCACTTCCGGAGGTCCCTCTTTTTTTTAAATGAAAGCGTTGCCACGGGCAACTCTGAACCTGCTAGTGAAGGTACGTCCTGGTGGGTAAGTGAACTTGGAGTAATCGATACGACCCGTGGCTCAATGGTTAGCGCGCCATCCCACGGACTGAAGGGTTGTGAGTCCAATTTTGGTCAAGGGCACGTACCTCAGTTACAGGCTCCATCCTCGGCCTGGTGGAGGCGCGTGTGAAAGAGCCAATCCATGGCTCTCTCATATTGACGTTTCTCTCTCCCCCCGCCTCCTTTTCACTCTCTAAAAACCAATAGAAAAATATCCTCAGCCCTGGCTGGTTTGGCTCAATGGATAGAGCATCAGCCTGTGAACTGAAGGGTCTCAGGTTTGATTCCAGCCGAGGGCACATGCCTGGGTTGTGGGCTCAGTTGGCAGGAGGCAACCCATCAATGATTCTCATTGTGATGTTTCTACCTCTTTCCCTCTCCCTTCCTTTCTGGAATATATATATATATATATATATATAAATTTATTGGTCACATATATATATGTGACCAAACGTTCCACCTTTAGAAAATCGGGACTTTTAAAACACGGCAGGACACGGGACAAATTGTTAAAAATCGGGACATCTGGTCTCCTTACCTTGACCGGATTCGAACCTGGGACCCTTCAGTCCGCAGGCGGACGCTCTATTCACTGAGCCACACCGGTTTCCGCTCAAGTCACATTCCTACCTTGTTTGTTGTTGGAAGACCATTTCCATCGCCGCCACGACCCTCTAAGTCGCTGGTTACGGGTCTCAGATTGGCACCGAGGACTCAGTTTCGGGAAGAATGGTCCTGTTGGATCACATGCGCCATCCAGGCCACGCGGTGCTTGGTCCCTCCAGGTGACCTGGCAGCAGGGCGGGCGAGGAGTGACGGCATTAGGAGCCTGCACGCCAGACCTCCGGTAGCTAATCCGCCGGTGACATTTGCTGCGGACGGTCCGGGCCCGCGCCCCCAGCCAATCCCATTACTGGGCAGTGAGCGTCGATGTCCCCTGCCTCGTCCCCATTCCACGCTGGACTCCAGAAGCCTTGAAGGTGCTCAGATTCCCAGGCTTCTGGGCTGTTCCCCGACCTCAGACGGGGCAATGGCACCCTTCAGTGCGCTGGTCGGCAAACCGCGGCTCTTTGGCCCCTGGAGTGTGGCTCTTCCACAAAACACCACGGCCCGGGTCTGTGTTGAAGAAGTGGCGTGAGAAGACGTTTACGTTTAAAAAAATGTGGCTCTCCAAAGAAATGTCCATCGTTGTCCTGTTGGTATTTGGCTCTGTGGACGAGTGAGTTTGCCGACCACTGGCCTAGCTGGTTTGGCTCAGTGGATAGAGCATCTCCTGCGATCAGAACGGTCCTGGCTTATTTCGGGTCAGGGCACAGGCCCCGGTTTGGGGCGATGCGTGAGGCGTGCAGGAGGCAGCGATTCCTGATTCTCTCTCATCATTGATGTTTCTCTCTCTCTCTCTCCCTCTCCTTTCCTCCCTGATATTTAATTGATAATATATATCAATTAAAATATATATTTCCCTTGCTGAAGCCGGTTTGGCTCAGCAGTAGAGCGTCAGTCTGTGGACTGAAAGGTCCCAGGTTCGATTCTGGTCAAGGGCATGTACCTTGATTGCGGGCACATCCCCAGTAGGATGTGTTTCTCTCTCATCGATGTTTCTAGCTCTCTGTCCCTCTCTCCTCTCTGTGAAAAAATCAATAAAATATATTTTTAAAATATATATTTCCCCCTTTTGGGGGGGTGCCCTCTCCAATTGCTGTGGAGTTTTCTCTGGGGGGGATGAACCCCAATGTATATCATCTCTCCACGCCGGCCCGGGGCGGCCGCCGCCACGTGCACCTGTGTGTGCAGGTGCGGCTCACCCCCTCCCCCCGCCCCCCACCAGCGGGCGGCTGCCCGCACCTTTGCCACCTGTGGCCAGCCACTTCCCCAAATCGTGCCGCTTACCGCTCCCAGCGGCGGAGGGACCGCCCGCCCCCACCCCTGCCCTGACCACGGCGAGCCACCCCTCTCCCCAGGAACATGGCTGCGGTGCGGCTCCACTGGCTTTTCTCTGGTTATGAAAGTGAAACACCCGTTTGTTATCAGATTTTTAAACAACGAGGACGAACACAGCACAGAGCCCGAGAATCCCCAGAGATGGCTCTCCGGGCCACTCCAGTGCCGCCTGCTGCGCACACCAAGGCGGAGGAGGGAGCGGGGAGCCTGCTGCAGGCTGCGGCAGCCATCGTCTCCTCTCAGCGCTTCTAAAGCACACTCGCCCTCTCCTGCGGTCGCCTTTTTTTTGAGTGCCCGCCAGTTGGTTTCCTCGCTCAGCTCGGAGTTCCATTGCCTGGCACATAGCAGGTGCTCATTAAAGGTGTACTCCGTGCCGAAACCGGTGTTGCTCAGTGGATAGAGCGTCGGTCTGCGGACTGAAAGGTCCCAGGTTCGATTCCGGGCAAGGGCATGGACCTTGGTTGCAGGCACATCCCCCGTGGGGAGTGTGCAGGAGGCAGCTGGTGGATGTTTCTCTCTCATCGATGTTTCTAGCTCTCCGTCCCTCTTCCTCTGTAAAAAATCAGTAAGATATATTCTAGAAAAAGAAAAAGGTGTGCTTGTGAGCGGCGGGGCGGCTGAATGGATTCCATTAAACTTCTTTTTAAAATATATTTTATTGATTTTTTACAGAGAGGAAGGGAGAGAGATAGAGAGCTAGAAACGTTGATGAGAGAGAAACATCGACCAGCCGCCTCCTGCACACCCCCCACCGGGGATGTGCCCACAACCAACGTACATGACCGGAATCGAACCCAGGACCTTTCAGTCCGCAGACTGACGCTCTATCCACTGAGCCACACCGGTTTCGGTTCCATTAAACTTCTTATTCTTCCGGAAGAATACAGGCTCCTCCCAGCCAAAAGCAACCGGAAGGTGGAGAAGCCGGCCCAGGGCAGGCCCCTCCTGAGAGGAAAGGTGCCGCCCGCCCACCATCGCATTCCGTTCCTGGGGGGGTCGCGGGCGGGGGGGGGGGAGTAAGGGCAGGCTTCCGGGAGCCCGGGGCCGATGTGTCCGACGCGGGACGGAGCTGGAGGCGCAGTCCACTCACCAGGACGGGTGAGCCCGCCGGGGGGGCCCTCACTGCCTCCGAAGGAAAAGCCCCAGAAACCCAAAGTTACCACGTCCCAGCACCGGAGGCTTCCAGAAGGTTCCGTGTCTCTCTGTGTGCGACGGTGACTGGGTCTGAGGAGCTTGTGTCCTCTGTGCCTGTCTGTCTGTCCCCGAGGCTGTCTGCTGTGCGGAGCGGGGTCCCTGGGGGGCAGTAAAGCTGCCTGTGGGCTGTGGGTCGGTGCCGCCAGGGTTTGGCCTGCAAAGTGGTTTCACGGGTTTATTTTTAATTGTATGTATTTTTTAGAGTGAGAGAGGAAGAGGGAAACATCCATGTGGGAGAGAAGCACGGGTCCGTTGCCTCCAGTACCGGGGATC